TGTGCCTCCCAGAGGCAACCCACCCCCACCACACCAAGCCCAAGGCTCCGTCCTTGACACTCAAAATATTTTCCATGGAGCTTCCCTGTTTTCCAAATACCATTAGTCCCTTGGTAAGAATGTGGGATGCTGTTTTCCCCTGTTTAAATCCAACTCACAGTAAGTGCCATAAAGGGGGAAATCCCAAACTCTAGCCAACATGGCCTTCCAAAACATTTTGCTGTCCTTGTGAATAGCCAGCCCTTCAATCGACACCCTGTTAAGTTCCTGGGAAAACAAATCTCTGTTCCTAGCGTGGGGCTCCTTTAGGTTGCATGAGAAGTGGCTTGGGTCACTACTCAACCTGGGGGCCACCTAACACTGGCCAAACATCCACAGCCACATGGGCACCATAGCTGCACAGAGATGCAGGTATTTCAATGGAGCCTGAGTATCTGGCGAGAGCACTTTCCCCCCAAACTGTCAAACTTACTCAGGCGGGGCACTGCCAATGTGGAGCGTGGGATTTGACCAGCCTTGGACTGACGTTTCCCTTTGCCTGATCCAGAAGGAAAGCACAGACTAAAACATAAAGATGCTATGTCCACATGCTCACGGCAGGCATGTTTACAGGGTGCCTGCTAACCAGGTGGTCCCTGAAGCAGGCTCTGGGAAATCTCCACTCTGCATCCTTTGTGTTCATGAGTATGCGGGGCCGTCACACTTCAAAGCCAGAAAAAAATGCAATCACTGCTCCACATGCCAAAACACAGACTTCACTAGGTCAGCGAGCCTCTCGCCCACTCCCACCACCCCAGTTGTTTTGTGGTTTTTGTTTGTTTGTTTTTTCACTAGATATACACAAACTGCCCTCATCCTGCTAGTCAGCACTGCACTGAACCTCTCTATCTCACCAGAGGGCCCAGCCTCTCGCTTCAAGGCCCACCAGCAGGGACGTGGTGCTGCTTTAGCTGGGCCCCCTTCTGGGAGTCCAAAATTCACAACCCCCATCTGCTTCCAGCCGTCCATCCTTGACCCACCTCCAAAATCTGGGTAGCCCTCCCAGCAGACAGGAGCAGCCCAGACAGGGCCTCCTGGCCCCGAGGAAGTTCCCCGAAGCACCTAAGGCACAGCTCTCTTTCCCTCCCACCCTCCGGACCACCACCTGCCCCCCACCCCTGCACAGCCCAGAGAGGGTCTGGCAACAGCCCCACCATGTTACAACCTCCCCGCCCAGCACAGCCACTCAGAAGGCGGTTACACAGAGGCTCTGGTTTCAGCTGAATATTTGCCTTGGCCCCTGCTGTCCCTGCAGGCTATAATGGGCACGCATTTCCAGGAAAAAATCATCATTTTTTGATTCCCTGCTTGTTTTTCTCTGGGTGCACATGATGTGCAATCACCAAAAACTGTAAATCAATTAGCAGCCATTTGAAGGGTGAGTGCTATGCTTGGTCACAAAACGTTCTGAGAGTTGGCTGGAGGGATAGATGTTCTAATCAGGGAAGTCAACAACTGCAAACACTATTGCTTCAGCCTTTCTTCTCCCTCAGTGCCTTGATTTCTGCTTCTCAGCCCAGCCGCCGCCCCATCCCACATCTCCCCCATGCAGAGACCTAACTAATATTTAGCAAATACCCTCTAGGGATGCTGGCTACCCAAAAGAGCCCAGAAGATCTAAATGGCAGGACCTCTTCCTTTAGAGAGGTTATACTCTACTGAAGAAGGTCAACCACAGGCAATGACTGGGCGAGGAATCGCGACTGGTGATAACTGCAAGGTGCTATGTATGCCCCACAATGCAGACACCTACAGCACAGGTCCCCACCCAGGTGGAGGATCCAGGTCAGGACCCCTCCTCTAGCTACCAAATCTTACTTACCCCTGCTTTTGCTGTTCCACAGACCCTTCAGATGGGAACTCAGGTCGACCTTACCCTATGCTTTTTCTCCTAGATAACCGAGCATGGTTGGCACCACCACTAAGCCATGCTGAAACCTTCCTCACCATTGCTTTCTTCAACCTGTTCCCCCTGCCAGACAAGCCCCCAGCATCTCTGCCCAGGTTACCAGCAGCCTCCCCAAGATTCACTGGCATGTCCTTCCTTCTATCCATCCTTTCTTCTAATCAAGGCAGGGCATTTTGCCAGCATGGTGAAACCCCATCTCTACTAAAAATACAAAAACTAGCCAGGTGTGGTGGCACATGCCTGCAGTCCCAGAAATGAGGCTGAGGCAGGAGAATCACTTGAACTTGGGAGGTGGAGGTTGCAGTGAGCCAAGATCATGTCACTGCATTCCGGCCTGGGCAACAGCAAGACTGTCTCAAAAAACAAAAAGAGAGAAAATGCATGCCTTCAAATGACACAAACTATACAGCCAGAAGAAAGGGCTAATATAACTGTGTGAAAAAACCCACTCTAAACACAACGATATAATAGACCCAAGTAAAATATAACCAGAAAACACAGGCATAAATCTTCGCGAACTTGGATTAAGTAATGGTTTTTTAGGTATGACAACAAAAGCAAAAGCAACAAGAAAAAAACAGATAAGGTGGACATCATAAAAATTAAAAATATTTGTGCTTCAAATGATACCACCAAGAAAGTGAAAAGGCAACCCAAAGCATGGGAGAAAAATTTTGCAAATCACGTATCTATCAAAGAATTTGTACCCAGAATATATAAATAAAGACTAAATTTTAAATCTCATCACAACTCAACACTAAAAAGACAAATAACCCGATTTTAAAATAGCAAAAATTAGAAATAGTTCTTTTTTTTTTTTTGAGATAGAGTCTCAAAGAAGGTAGAAAAATCGGAATCCTCAAACATTGTTGAAGGAAATACAAAATGCTGCAGCGGCTTTGGAAAACAGTGCAGCAGGTCCTCAAAAGGTTAAACACAACTACCATATGATTCAACCATTAATCCCACTCCTGGGTTCCCAAGAGAAATGAGAATGTGGCCGGGTACGTTGGCTCACACCTGTAATCCCAGCACTTTGGGAGGCCAAGGCAGATCACAAGGTCAGGAGTTTGAAACAAGCCTGACCAACATGGTGAAATCCTGGCTCTACTAAAAATACAAAAAAAGTAGCCGGGCATGGTGGCATGCGCCTGTGATCTCAGCTGCTCGGGAGGCTGAGGCAGGAGAATTGCCTGAACCCGGCAGGCAGAGGTTGCAGTGAGGGGAGATGGCGCCACTGCACTCCAGCTCGGGCAGCAGCAGGAGACTCCATCTCAAAAAAAGAAAAAAAAAAAAGTGTTATTCAAGCTCTAAAGGCATATTGGCAGGAAGCAAAAACATTTTCCTCAAAATACTAAAAATTAAAACCCAAAAGATCATCGTTTTTCTCCTTGTGAAATTGAGCCGCACGTCCTTAAAATCATCTTGGAAAACACTGGACCTAATGACTTCAACACCCTTTCAAACCATGAGTTTCTAGACCCCTGCGTTCTTTCCCTAAAGTGAAATGGCCCTAGTTTCCTCGAGCATTGCTCAAAAGGTTTTGAGTCCTCTCATCTATCATCCCCGCTACTCTCCAGGGATAAGTGCTGTTTGCTTCAGTTGCAGCCTGAGCAGCACCAAAGAAAACTCAGCTATAATTGAGCTGGACCTATCCTCCCATTCGCGCCATATCATGCCTGCCTTAAGGCTGAACTAATGAGAGCTACTGTCACTTTATCCAGAGGGCTTTGAGACACATCCCTTCTAGCCCATCCCTGATCAATTGAGGCTTTTGGATGGACGGCATGACATTTATAAAAGGAGACAGTTTGGATCAGCATAAGGAAGAACTTTCTGACGATTAGTAAGAATCCAAGAAGAAGCCAGGTGCAGGGGCTCACACCTGTAATCCCAGCACTTTGGGAAGCCGAGGGGGTGGATCACTTGAGGTCAGAAGTTCAAGACCAGCCTGGCCAACATGGTAAAACCCTGTCTCTACTAAAAACACAAAAATTAGCTGGGTGTGATGGCGGATGCCTGTAATTTCAGGTACTCGGGAGGCTGGGGCAGGAGAATCACTTGAACCTGGGAGGCGAAGGTTGCAGTGAGCTGAGATCGCACCACTGCACTCCGGCCTGGGTGACAAGAGTGAAACTCTGTCTCAAAAAAAAAGAATCCAAGAAGAGTAGTTCAAAAACAGACTAAGCTTGTCGCTGGGCAAGTCCCCAAGCAGAATCTGCCAGGGTGGTGATTCCAACTGCCAAACCTCCACCAGAAGCTCCACCAAACAGGCCCAACTCTGAAATCCATGCATCTCTAACACAACACGCAAAGACAGAGGAGGAACGAGCCAGGGTGCACTTCCTGAAGGAGACTGGGAGTCTTGCAGATTTCATGCCTGGGCTCTGCCCTGGGATGGTCCAATGCATCAGATTTCCCGCCATAAATCATTTCATTCTCACACCTGTCTTGTGAAGTAGGGAAGCTGTTCCCATTGTGCCAACAATAAAACTGATGCTCAAAGAGGTTATATAACTTATCCCTCTGCCAATCAGTTGGTAGAGCCAGGATTCCAAGTCAGTTCCATCTGGCGCCAAAATTCATGTTCATCCTACTACGCTGCGCCGGACACAGGAAGAAACCGAGAAGCTGAAGGTCATCATCTGATGTCAATCTGGAAGGCTAGGAGGAGTAGTTTTGATTTTACACCGAAGATCAGAAAAAGGCCACAAGTTTTTTGATGAGAAAAGTTTTTTCATCTTTGTAAACATTTGAGATCCATTAATAGCAAATGAGAATAACAAAACAAGGGGAAATGAAGTAACAAATAAGGAGGCATAAGTGAAAGCTGGAGCCCTTGGCAGGCACAGAAGCAACCTAGGAAAGGAGGTTCCTGGCAGCCTTCAGCCATGTCCCGTCAAAGGACATAAACCAGCCTCTGTCCAGAGAAGCATCCAGAAAGAACCCCCCAGGAGCCACGGGGACAAGGGCACCTGCTTCTCAGCCCTGATCTATGGAAAGTGCTGTCACAGTTTCTTAAAGGGGAAACGTGGAAAGCGTCACTACTTACATCGTGATGGCAGACGGCCACAAACGATGACCACTTGCCACCGGGGAATTCACAATTCCAGGATGTTTTTCATTTGCTTGCGGAGTTATTGGAAGTTACTGTGATGGATTCAACCACCTTATCAATAATTCACTCATACCCAGGGCTGACCAAACAGCTTCTGATTCCTTCATCTTCCATTGAAACAAACAAACATGCACGGCCTTCACAAATATAACTTCTCCAAGAAAGTGACAAAGGAAGCAGCGATAGCATTCTCCACGGTCACAGCTAAGCAAAGAGGCGAGGTGACACATTTGTCAAAGCTGTGAAGAGGGTCCCTGATACCATCGGCTGTTGTACAGTCCACATGCTTCAAGCCACAAGACATGCTCTGGAAGTGTGTGATGTGTTTGGGAAAGAACTCATGTGTGCTTCCAAATCCCAGATTGAAGAGCTTGGGGCTCCAGGAACACCTGAGTGCTGTTTTTGAAACCATGCAAAATCACAGCCAACACAACTGAGCCCACAGCAGTAGGAAAACATTTCGAAATGTTATTTAAAGTGCTATTATATATAACGAAGGGTCCATAGTGAGATGTCTTGGAGTTTATGAATATTTATTATAGTACATTCTTGAAAACAAAAAAAAAATTAAGTCCAATACAAATGAGAAACAGATTTATAAGAGTCAGTCATATGTTTACATTATGCAAATTGTAGTTAAAGACCTATAACCAGAATATTGTTAAATGCCTAAAAAGGGGGTAGTGGGGCAGCTGATTTGTGAGCATTTTCTTAAAATGGGCAAACAATATTCTTAGAGTTTTTGACAATCTGTGCACTGAAAGGTTCATGTGGGTACATCTTGTTAACTTTCAGCGACTTGGTGGTGGAGTCACAGATCCAAGGTAAGATCAAAGGCCTGAGGTTCTCACAGCCTCTTCGCTCACAACAGCCAAGGCTCCACCAGACGGAGGTAGGAGACACCTTGAAACTTGACAGAAAGCGCTCACACACATCTCAGCTGCCTCCAGCCCTGAAGCAACGAGGAGGATTTGCTAGCACGCTGAAAACTCCCACACAGCTAGCTAAGCACACTCGACTTTCACATTCAGCAGAGACAGAGGCCTTGAGGACGTTGCAAAATAGCCTGCCCCAGAGACCTCACCTTGAGCTTTGCCACACGCACCAAGCGGGGCATCCTCTGAGTACAGGTCCCAGACAGACATGCGGGTGACAGGAAAAGTCTATTTCTAAGGAAGATGGAAGCTGAATGAGCTCCCCCTCCTCCCCTTTGCAGATATAGTAAAAGGCCCATAACCACAAACTTCACCAGACACCACATCATCGAAGGAGAGCTGACCAATAGTATTAGTCCATTTTCACGCTGCTGATAAAGACCTACCTGAGACAGGGTAATTTGCACAGAAAAAGAGGTTTAATGGATTCGCAGTTCCACATGGCTTGGGAGGCCTCACAATCACAGTAAAAGGCAAAAGGCAAGTCTTACATGGCAGCAGGCAAGAGAGAATGAGAGCCAACCAAAAGCCAATAAAACCATCAGATCAGCCAGGAGTGGTGGCTCACGCCTGTCATCCCAGCACTTTGGGAGGCCGAGGCAGGTGGATAACCTAAGGTCAGGAAATCAAGACCAGCCTCGCCAACATGGTGAAACCCCGTATCTACTAAAAAGGAAAAAATTAGCTGAGCATGGTGGTACGCACCTGTAATGCCAGCTACTCGGGAGGCTGAGACAGGAGAATCGCTTGAATCCGGGAGGTGGAGGCTGCAGGGAGCCAAGATAGTGCCACTGCACTCCAGCCTGGGTGACAAGAGTGAAACTCCATGCCCCCCAAAAAATAAAAAAATAAAACCATCAGATCTGTAAGACCTATTCACTACCACGAGAACAGTATGGGGGAAACTCCCCTCATGATTCAATTATCTCCTACCAGGTCCTTCCCACAACACCTGGGAATTATTCAAGATGAGATTTGGGTAGGGGCACAGCCAAGCCATGTCACCAATTAAGATGTATTATTATTATTTCTTATTAGGAAAGCAATACACAGTCATTGTAAGAGATCTACAAAATACAAGAAAAAATACAGGTAGAATAGAGGAGAAAATGTGTGCATAGGATTCAAATTAAATTGAGATCCCTCACTGAAACGGGTTGCTTCACCTTTTCTTAGGGAGCATGGACGGGCTGCACCCCACCTTACACTGCCCACTGCCAATGGCCCCCAGGACCCTGCCCCAGATGCCGTGGAGGCTTGTGGTGCCTCGTCTCCAAAGGACTCACTCTGAGGATCTGAAAGCCAGCCACAAATGGTCTTTCCATACACAGAGGAAGAATGAATGAGTTACAGACGACTGAACTTCACGACCAGAGACAAAACCCCACCCAATCATCACCTTGCAAAAAAACCCTACCAGGCCCTAGTTGTGTGGTCTTAGGCCAGTTACTCGACCATTCAGAGACCTCATGTCCTTGTCTGAATGTGGGGGATGAGAATGGTCCCCTGGCTGCACAGGGCCATGGTGACACTCCAACAAAAGGACCCTACCCAGTGCTTCCAATTCTGTGCACTGTTGCTCATAAGAACAGCAAACATCACCCTCAAAAGCAGCTCCAAGGATGGCCGCTGTGGGCAAGAGGCAGTTCTTGTGTCTTTAATACAAAATCAATATATAGGCCAGATGAGGTGGCTCACACTTGTAATCCCAGCACTTTGAGAGACCAAGGCAAGGAGGATCATTTCAGGTCAGGAGTTCAAGACCAGCCTGACCAACATAGTGAAACCCCATCTCTACTACAAATACAAAAATTAGCCAGGTGGTAGTGGCATGTGCCTGTAATCCCAGCTACTCAGGAAGCTGAGGTAGGAGAATTGCTTGAACCCAGGAGGCAGAGGTTGCAGTGAGCCGAGATCACACCATTGCACTCCAACCTGGGCAACAGAGCAAGACTGTCTAAAATATATATATATTTATATATTGAATAAACAGAAATACGAATGCACTGTTGGATCCCTAAAAGCTGAAAATAAATCAGTTCTGCTTTCATGTTCTTCCAAGTTTGGCCTATGAGCACAACCATCATCTCCTGGGGATTTGATTCCATCCATTGTATATGCTGAAGTCAAGATGCCTGTTTTTAAAATCCATTAATAAACACCAACCTGTTTTTGTGTCCTGGGGATTAACCAAAACCAGTATCTTGTGTTGAGGTTCATCACGGTGCACAGTGCAAAAGTAAACAGATGAAGCTTCAAGTTTCACCTGAAAAAATCACAAAATGACTATTTTGTTATTTCATCATAATATGGGCATGGGAAGTTACTTAACATTAATTAGCACAGTGTGCATTGAAAGAACTCTGTTGCACAGAACATGGGCTTAATTTGACAGAACACAGGCACCACAAGAATGGAAACCTTACCCATGCTGAGCTAAACACACAGGGAATTTCAAAAAGGTCTTCTCTCATCTCCCGCCCAGCGCATCTTTTCTTCCCCATGTCCACATGTCCATCTAGCCACACATATCGACCTAGGCTCCTACCTGTTGGCCAATCGACCTTCAGCTCTCCCTTCCAAACACTTCCTACCGCCTTCTGGATCCCAATCCGCCCACCTTGGGTCCAGCTCTTCTCCCAGGGCCCCGGAGGCCACTATATGGACACAGCCTGGGACATGCCTGCCTCCACCGGGATGCCACTCAGGATGCCCTGGCTCAGTCCAGCAAGCAGTCTCAAGAAATGCACACCTTTGGCTGGGCGCAGTGGCTCATGCCTGTAATCCCAGCACTTTGGGAGGCAAGGCGGTTGGATCACTTGAGGTCAGGAGTTCAAGACCAGCTTGGCCAACATAGTGAAACCCCATCTCTACTACAAATACAAAAATTAGCCAGGTGGTAGTGGCATGTGCCTATAATCCCAGCTACTCGGGAGGCTGAAGCAGGAGAATCGCTTGAGCCTGGGAAGCAGAGGTTGCAGTGAGCCAAGATTGCACCACTGCACTGGGCAACAGAGTGAGACCCTGTCTCGAAAGAAAAGAAAAGAAAGAGAAATGCACACGTTCTTTGGTCCCTACAGGCCCAGTCCAGGCTCCCTGTCAGCCCTGGGACAGAAAAGCTCAACTCTGGGCACCTGTTTGTTATATGAGAGAGGAACCAGTATCTCTAATACTGAGATGCCCGAGAGCCTTCTCTCAAGTACCTAGATCCAAAGTCCCCTTTGTGGTCATCAGACAAAAAGGTCAATGTGCTCTGGTACCAAGTCTGTTCTGAAAACCAAGGACAGGCCAGGTGCAGTGGCTCACGCCTGTAACCCCAACACTTTGGGAGGCCGAGGCAGGTGGATCATGAGGTCAAGAGATGGAGACCATCCCAGCCAACATGGTGAAACCCGTCTCTACTAAAAATACAAAAATTAGCTGGGCGTGGTGATGTTCACCCGTAGTCCCAGCTACTTGGGGAGGCTGAGGCAGGAGAATTGCTTGATCCTGGGAGGAGGAGGCTGCAGTGAGCCAAGATCACACCACTGCACTCCAGCCTGGTGACAGAGCGAGACTCCGTCTCAGAAAAAGGAAAGAAAAGAAAAGAAAACCAAGGACGGTATAAGAAAATTACAAAAGAACACGTTGGCTAAGCTAGGCAGGCAGGCTGCTTGTTAAAAGTTGATAGCAGGCCTCCACAGTTTCAGACAACAATTTCTTAACAAATCCTGCACCTTATAAATGTCTTGGTGCTTCTCAGTCTTTGGCATCACTTTAATGAAGAGTTCCCAAGCTGGCCCTCCCAAAGAGTTTGTGTGCAACATGGTTCATCCACAAGCTAGCTGTTACAGGCCATTAAACCCAACATTTACCAAGCATTGGATCAACATGGAAAGATAGCTGAGTGCAATGACTCATGCCTATAATCCCAACACTTTGGGAGGCCTCAGTCGTCACTTGAGCCCAAGACTTTGAAAACAGCTTGGGCAACATAGTGAGACCCTACCTCTACAAGAAATAAAATATTAGCTGATGTGGTGACACATGCCTGGAGTACCAATTACTTGGGAAGCTGAGGTGAGAGGATCACTTGGAGCCTGAGAGGTAGAGGCTGCAGTGAGCCGTAATCACACCACTGTACTACAGGCTGGACAACGGAGAGACCCTCTCTCTCAAAAAAAAAAAAAAAAAAAGGAAAGAAAGAAAAAGAAAAAGAAAGATGCTTATTACAAACCACATTGTATTCAGAAAGTGATCTCACCTATTTCTTAGGAATTGCAAAAATACAAAAGCCAAAAGCAAACACATTAAAATGTTCACAGCAGTTAACTATGGGTGATTTTATTTTCTCTATCCTCTGTAACAGTTCCTAAATATTAAACGATGAGCATGTACTGTTTTATAATCAGAAAAATTGACAAGTATTAATATTATTGTATTTTCAATGTGACAGGACAATTTCAAGACTGAAAAAGGAGTTAATTGTCAAAAGGAAATATTTTTAGGACCAAAGTGAAATGACATGACATATCCTCAAACCACTTCTTTATCTTTTTGTTTCAAAAAACTTCTTTGCATTCAAAAAGAAAAGTTAAACCTTAGAAAAGTAATAAGGAGGTCCAATATCATTCCAAATTAGACTATTTCAACATCCTAAATGGCAGAAGACAATTCCCATTTCTTTTTTTCTTTTTGAGACAGAGTCTTGCTCTGTCATCCAGGCTGGAGTACAGTGGCATGATCTCAGCTCACTGCAATCTCTGCCTCCCGGGTTCAAGAGATTCTCGTGCCTCAGTCTCCCGAGTAGCTAGGATTAGAGGCGCCCGCCACCATATCTTGCTAATTTGTTTTGTATTTTTATTAGATACAGGGTTTCACCATATTGGCCAGGCTGGTCTTGAACTCCTGGCCTCAGGTGATCTGCCCACGTTGGCCTCCCAAAGTGCTGGGATTACAGGTGTAAGCCCCCCACGCCCAGCTGAAACTTTCTTTTTTTAGAAAGTGAAAAAGCAGATAGGTATATAGTCATTTCACATTTCTATCACATTAAAACAACTTAATTTTAGTAGCTGTCTTATGTTTTCGCTAATAACACTAAAATTCTTCACTCACTGAGCATACTACATATTGGGGTGGGGTGAAAGTAATGTAATCCATAAATACATGTGAAATAAAAGCAGATGATAGAAACTGCCTCCTAATGTACTTCAGGGCTAACTCTTGTTATTCTACCCACTTCTGAGATGACCTAGCACCCCCACACTCCATGCCACCCTGCCCCTCACCATCCTGGCTCATTAAGCCCCTAGCCTTGAACTAGCGTTTGCCTTTTTTGCTTAACGGCCACTAGGGGGCGATGGGAGCGTGTGAGGACCAGGACCTCCCTCTGCAGATCAAAAAAGTGGAGGCTTTTGATCACCAATGAGTGCTGGATTCTTCTGGGAGTGA